AGAAAGGTAAGACAGTCCCTGCTGTCAAGGAGATCATATTCTAATGGGAGAGATAATAATACAGAAAGTTTCTTTCTTTCTTTTCTGTTTTTTTTTTTAATTTAAGGGACCATACCTTAATTCACTTCTGCCATACCCTTAGTGCCCAGCATAGATGCTCAGTAAACATTTGTTACTAATAATAGCTCACATTACTTAAGTACTTAAAGTGCTTTACATACACTCATTTGATTGTGTGATTAATGCATACATATATGAAAAACTTGAAGCAATTCTAAATAGTGTTAAATAATTAAATATTTCTCTTTTGTGTTTTCATTTTTCATTTCTGATTCCTTAATGGGCAAATATTACTCCTTCCAAAGCAGCCAAGCAGATGAGAAGACTTCTTGGCTGAAGCAGCTATTTCTGAACTCTGAAAATTGTTAGCATCTAGCCACAACTTTCCCCTGCTATAACCAAATCAATCATTTAACAAGCATACAGGCAACACTTTGCTTTGGGTGCTAGGAAGAGACAAAGGACTGAACACACCTGTCTGTCTTCACTGACTTTACACCTGTTGTTCAGTTGTTCATTCCTGTCCGGTTCTTCACGACCCCATGGACCACAGCATGCCAGGCCCTTCTGTTCTCTACTATCTCTTGAAGTCTGTCCAAGTTCATGTTCATTGTTCCCATGACACTATCTATCCATCTCATTCTCTGCCATCCTCTTCTCCTTTTGCCTTTAATCTTTCCTAACATCAGGGTCTTTTCTAGTGAGTCCCATCTTCTCCTTACACGGCCAAAGTATTTAAGCTTCAGCTTCAGTATTTGATCTTTCAGTGAATAATCTGATTTAATTTCTTTATGTATTGACTGATTTGCTCTCCTTGCTGTCCAAGGGACTCTCAAAAATCTTCTCCAGTACCCAGAGCAACTGGCATGAGCTGTCTCCCTACCTTTCTTTTACTCTAGGTAGCTAGATAGAACAATGGATAAAGCACTAGATCTGAAGTCAGATAGTTGTTAAGTCATTTTTTTCAGTCATGTCTGATTCTTTGTGACCTCATTTAGGATTTTCTTGGCAGAGATACTGGAGTGGTTTGCCAGTTCCTCCTCCAGCTCATTTTACAGATGAGGAACTGAGGCAAACAGGGCTAAGTGACTTGACCAGGGTCACATAGCTAGCAAGTATCTGAGGCCAGATTTGAACTCTTGGAGATGAGTCTTTTTGACTCCAAGTCCAGCACTCAATCCACTGCACCACCAGCTACTTTGACTTTACACTCGCATGAACACACACACATACAATTCAATTCAACAAAGATCCATTGAACATTTGGAGAGGCATTGTATTAGATGCAATCTCTCCAGGTTAGTAAGAAGAATAATTAATGAAATGGGTAATCACTCACTCCTGAGTGACTTTTAAGGTACCAACGTTGTCATTTTCATAACTGCAAATTTTTTAATTTGGGAAAATAGTAGGACAAGTCAAGAATTGACATCTTGTCAATATCCTGGTTGCATTTGTGGAGGAGGATTAACACGAGTACTGTGAGTTTTGGGGAAGCATCTCTCCAGATAGAACAACCACTTCAGAGGCCAAAGAAACAGGGGTTATGTTAATAAAGACCCTCAGGCTATCCTTTATTTCCCTTCCTACTGGTAACAACAGGGTGAGCCAGACTTATTCTGTCTTGAAGGGGGTCTTCTCTATATTAGCGATTACTAATCACAGAGAAATTCAGAGGAATAAATCTGATCTTTATTAACTGTTGAGACTCTCAGATAGGGGTCTGTCCACACTTCTAGGCCCCCACTCGCCATTTTCCTTTTGACCTTGGAATGCCTCTGATTGGCTGTGTGCTCTCAGCAAGCCTAAAAAGCTATAAAAACTCAATCTGTATCTTAGGTTGAAGCTGCTACTAGCTGGTACAGTCCTCTTTAGCAGGCTAATAATAAATTTCAGTCAATTGGTCAATCAGTGGTCGGTCAAGAAGCATTTATTAAGCACCTACTGTGTGCCAGGCATTGTGTTAAGCACTAGGGATATAAAGAAAGGTAAAAGATGGTCTCTGCTCTCAAGGAAACATCATGAAACTTTGTTGTTTTCTCAACTGCAAATGTTTATATTTGGGGGAAATAGTAGGGCTAAACACTTGGCAATCACTTGGAGAAGATGCACAAACTTTGGAGGTTTCGTGTTATTTACTGGGATGTTCAAACACATCGGTGTTAACATGCTTGCAGCTTAGGCAGAGTTCTCCAGCACTCAGCAGAATGCCATGTCTTTCAAATTTAGACTGCTGAGCAGTGCATGGCTGGGACTTGAGAAAGTTTCAGAATGAAACAGGATGAAGGGTGGACCCAGAAGTAAGGACAGTGGAGGAGGCAGCTGCAGAGAAGATCTAGATGCTAACTTCATCCCCACCCCCACCTTCCACTGGACCTATTTAACTCTATTACTCAGGTGATGCATGTTAGTGAGACCAAGGATCTGGGCTTAATGCCTGTGTAGATGAGGACCTCTAAGCTTTAATTTCATCCCCACCATGAGCAAAGTGCCAAGAGGAGGGTACACAGGCACTACATCACCTCTCTGGGCTTCATATTCCATAGCTGTGAAATGGGGATAATATAATACCTGCATTATCTTATTGTATTGCTGTTTAGGTCAAATGAAATAAGGTATATGAAAACCCTCTGAAAATTATAAAGTGCTATATGGTTGAGAAGGTATGCAACTGTAGACTGCATTAATAGTACAGTATTCTACACTGGTCATACTACATCTGTGTTCAGTGAATGAAGTATACACTGTAATGGGAATTTTAAAATTTCTTTTTATTAATTATTAATTTATTAATTAATTATTCAGGGGTAAGGGTCATTCCTCCTGCAGGTTTTAGTTGACTAAAGGCCAATCTTCCATTAATGTTGACCTTACTTGACCAAAACCTGACTCATAGAATAATAATGTTAAGGGAAAATCAAGGCATTTTTCTTTTAGTTGAGAGGTTGGTGAGCTGGCTGAAACGTGTCCCATGGGATGTGAAAATTTACTTATGTTTTCCTCCAATAAGAAGCCAGAGGAAGAATTTCAACTGTCCCTGACACCTTGAAGACATGTAAATCTTTTCCCTCAATTTCACCTATTTGTGAACCCTCTAAAAGTAGTTTAATCTGTAACCTGACTTATTTTACCTATAGAGTTTATATCTTTAGGAGATGTATGAGATTTTGTCTCTTTTTAGCTAAGTTTGTTCAACTTTTATGACATTTAAGGAAATATGCTATTATGAATCTGTCTTTTAACTTTTATGACCTAAGAAGAATGTACAAGACAGCAATATTTAACAGAATTAGTCCTCTGTCACTCTGATGTAATTTTGCCTACAAGAAGGCTTATTGGAATCCTAATGGTTGCTCAGGTTTGTTTTTTTCTCCAAGGCCTGAACCTATGCTTGAGCCTAACAATAAAACCTAGGTTTTTACCTTTATATTTCTGCATTGTGGTAAATATTTTGGCAGCAGTTACCTACCATATGAACTCAGAGAGGAGATATTTCTCCCATAACAACACTATAGAGTATTGTATTCAGTTCAAGGTACTGCATTTTAAGAAAATAATTGGCAAACTGTAGTATGATCAGAGGAGAGTGTTGTGACAGTTCCCCAGTGTGGGTCCCTTGAGATCATTTAGGCCCCACGTTTAGTCCAATCCTATCACTTCACAAATTACAAAACTGACGCCCAAAGAGATTAAAAGACTTAATCAAGGCCAAACAACTTGTGGCAAAACATGAATATGAGAAGGCAGCTAGGTGGTGCAGAGGATAGAGCACCTGCCGTAGAGTCAGGAGGACCTGAGTTCAAATCCAGCCTCAGATCAAACACTTAACACTAGTCGTGTGACCCTGGGCAAGTCACTTAACCCCAACTGCCTAAAAATAAAAAAGACAAAACATGGGTATTGAAACCTGGATCCTCTGATTTCCCTATACAGTATTCTTTCCACTAGATGATGATCTCTAAGGTGTTTTCCAACTTTGGGATTCTGTTTTGACATATTGTGTCATTTAGTGGGTACTGTTCTCACGGCCAAAAATGCTACCCCCTTTTCTCTTTCCTTAACCAAGTCCCAGCCATAGGTTCCACTCAGCTCACGTGAGTTCTTTATAAAGATTTCCCTGACCATACCAGACATGTCTACCTACTTTGAAGGCCTGTAGTTCTTACAATTTTTATCATTCATTTGATTTACTAGAATACATACTGCCTTGTATTGCCGAGTGAGAGTTCCACCAAGACCACTTAACCTCTCAGCGTGGTTAGTGGTTAGGCAGGACTCTGCCTTTTCACTCGATGTCCACTCCCATTGTTTCAGGAAGACTGGAAAGGCAGAAGGGGGCCATGTGAAGTTTTCTAGTGAGGAAATTCTAAGTTGGCACCTTCTTTGAAGCTTCTAAAGAGTTGCCTGGGGCACTGAAAAGTTAAGTGATTTGCCCAGTATCCCAGTAAAAAAGGTGATAGAGACATATCTACATATATATGCATATAGATAATACACATATCTATCTATATCTACATATATCTATCTTATTTGCACATAATTGCTTCTTGTCTCCTCCATTCGAATGTGAGCTCCCTGAGGATTGTGCTTTGTCCAGGGATTAACACTGAGCCTGGAGTATAGCAGGTGCTTAATAAATGCTTGCTGACTTGACCAGGAGTTTGCTACAATAATGAAGTTACTGCTGATTTTAAAAACAACCCCAAACTTTTACAGGGTTTAAGTCTCAGAGAATATTTTGACATCTGAGGGCCTAGGACCACCTCTTCCACCAAATGTTAAGGTTATACGCCCAACCGATGCTCGAGAAATAACTTCTAGGGATGAATTATACATTATTAGGCGCGCACCGAAAGGCGCCGGGGCCCTTTCGAGCTACGTCTGGGGGAAGGTCCCAGCAGCCCCCTCCTCTCCACAGGCTACTTGTGGCTAATGCCCAGGGAAGGGCTCTCCAAACACAGCCCAAATCTCCAAAGGGAACTTCTCCACTGATGGGCTGTCGGGTCGAGAGGCCTGACAGAACAGAACAGCTGCAGCTCAAAAATCTCGTTCAATTCCCCTCTCCTCCGCCCACTGCCCCGGGCCGGCCTGGTGCAGCGAGGGGGCGGCGCCCCTCAGCCCGACCCGGTCAGGCGCGCGCTGCGCGGTCGGGAGCGCCCGCTGGGGAGGGGCCCGACTGGGGCTACAGGTAGCCCGGGCTGCCGCCCGCGATTGGAATGTGCCCGGGGCGCGGGGGGCGCTTCCTGGCGGGATGAAGGGGCTCCCTGCTGGCCGCCTTCCCGTTCTCGCCGCCTTCCTGGGGCTCTTCTGGACGCGCCAGGCATTCGGAGGTATGGGCTGCTCACCTCGCCTGCCCGTGGCCTCTCCGGGCACCCTGGTTGCGCAGGGCAGGCCCGGAGAGGGGCGGACGCGGGGCCCCGCGCGTGCTGGTCCGCGGACGGGCAGGCGGGAGGGCGCGCGGGGAATCTGGAGAGCCGGGGCTGGCAGGCTGGGGACAGGTGCCCAGCGGCCGTCTCCGTCCGGCCTGCCCAGCGGAAGCGTTGCAAGGGGGAGAGCTCAGCGGTGATCTAGCAAACTCTGAGGCCATGTTGGTAACTTGAGGACCCCAGATTTTAACTCTTGCATAGCTAAGCGCGCGAAGCACGGGTAAGGTTCGGGGGCCCGGGCAGAGACTGCAGGAAGGGAGGCCGTGTGGCCAGCGCCCCCTTCCTCATTCCCGCGGGATGGGAGAGGGGGGCTACAAAGGAGACTAAGTGGTGGCATTTTTAAAGCAATCTCTTAGTCCCAGATGGTTTCTTGGCCATATTAGGGTTAAAGTCTGGAGGGCAACATCCTGAACTTCTTAGCATTAGTGATTAAAAACTGAAAGGGCCCGTGTAGTTTATCTAGTCCACCTCTTCTCCATCTTACACATGAGGAAACTGAGGCCTAGAGAAGTCACACACAGGTGGTGTGACCCGTGGTGGAGGCAGGATTTTCATTGGTCCTTTGTCTCCAAGTGCTTTCCACTGTACCATACTGACTTGCACCTGACCAAACATTTATTTTCTCTCCCAAGACTCTGGGCTTTAGAATTATGCTCTTGTATTGGGCTTCAGATTTCACGCCAAGGGAAGGTAGGAATGATGCCTGTGTTTCCTGTGCTTTCTATGAATTCTTTTTTAGCCTCCTCTATATAGAAACATTGAACTTGAAAAATTGCATGTGACTCATGTAACATGTCATATTTTTGCCATAAATAAAGGTCCTAATTCCTTTTTGGCCACTGGCCTGAACTCTTCTTGTTCACCCTCCCTTCATGTCAAAATTTCTCTCCTCACATTTCAATTTAACTCCTATTGAAATGCTGTATTATTTAAACTAGGAGTCTTGTGGTTTCTCCACCCCCATACCTCAATTTTGAAATTCAGGGTGCGCACTATGGAGAGATTTTGGAAGTTTTAAGAAGGAATTATAAACATAAGGCCTAGTGTTATTTTTGTCTTAATATTAGTCAATTTAGTTTAAGGCTTAGATGTAAATACAGTAGCCATTAACCTTGTCCACTTCACTGTGTTAAAGATGGATAATTTAATTGAGTATACATATCTCTCTTCAGCTGTAGAGGTGTATGGTGAAAAAAGTGTTACCCAGAGTTTAACCTGTCAATGAGCCTTTCTGAAATTAAACATTATGGTCCTTGTTTAACAGACCAATGACAGATTGTAGGGAAGCCTTTCCAGCTTGGTAGGTTCTGCCAGAGGTTACTTTCCTTTAGCACAGAATCCATGGTCACCTATCTACATCTCCGGGAGGCATTGGAGCAGGACTTGAGTTGAGGATCTTCTCTGTTTCATTATTTTTCTAAAAATGTGAAACATGTTCTGTCATGTGGTTAGAGGCAGTGTAGCATAATGGAATTTTCAAGGCAAATTCTTGAAAAAGTTGTCTAAGATTGCTACTACCATTTTCTCTCCTCAAACTTTTGCACAGTGGCTCACTCCTCTGAAACTGTGCTATCTCCAAAATTGCCTTTGATCAGATGGCCTTTTCTCAGTCTTAATCCTTCTTGATCTATCTGCTGTATTTGACACTGTTGACTATCATCTCCTCCTAGATACTTTTTGGGTTTTGTGACCCTCCATTCTTCTGGTTCACTTCTTAGCTATCTGATGGCTTTTTTTTTTTTTCACTTTCCTTTGGTGACTCATCACCATACCTCCTAACTGTGAGTACTCTTCAAGGTTGTCATGACCTTTTCCTCCCTCTGTAGGCTGTCATAGAAACCTCATCAGCTCCCCAGAGTTTAACTAGCATCTCTTTGCAGATTCCAGCTCTACATATCCAGCCCCAGACTCTCCTCTGAGCTTTAATCTCCTATCACCAGTTGCCTAGTGAATATTTCAAAATGGATATCCAAGAGATATTTTAAACTCAACCCTTCTAAAATTGTACTCATTATCTTTCTCTCTACACTTTCCCATTTTCTAAACTTCCTATTTCTCCTGAAGGTACCACTATCCTTCCAGTGTCTTAGGTCCATTATCTTGTCATTGTATAGACTCTTCAATCTCCCTCACCCCACATATCCAATCAGTTGCCAGATCTTGACATTTCTACCTTACTTCCCACCCCTTTTCTACACTCATCCAGCTATTCAGGCCCTCTTCACCTGTCACCTCCACTATTACAACATCTTTCTAATTGTTCTCCCTGTCTCAAGCATCTCCCAATTTGTCCACCCAATACAATGCAGTCCAAGTAATTTTCCTTAAGCACAGATCTGATCATGTGACTACCCTGCTCAACCAGCTCCAGTGGCTTCCTGTTGCCTCCAGGATAAAATATTATTACGGTATTAATTTCTTCCAGCTAATACCCTTTCTGCTCCTAACATTTTAAACTCTTGAGGGTGGGGAAAAATAAAACTTTGCATCAGTATTTTTAAATAAATTAGTTGCCAGTATACATTTACTTTTTTAAAACCTAAGTGTACCAAGTACAGAGAATGAAGCTGTTCAGAAAGCACACACTTATAAATTCTTTCCCTTTGGGGAAATTTAAAAGGATTTTGGATTTAGATGAGTGAAAATCCCAAACAAGAGTAAAATTAATTCATTTTATTGCAAACAAGCATCTAAATTAAATTCTCCACTCACTTTCTTTAGCAAGCTAAGGAGATCTCAATCAAGAATTGATGTGTTTAAAACTTAAATATAAATGAGTGACTCACAATTTCATCAGCTTACAAAGATGGTGGAGTTAACTATTTACAATCACACTAGCTATACACTATTCTGTGGGAGAAGGGTTAGGATTAGGATTAGGGAAGTTTGTTTAGCTACCTACTTTTCCATCCTCCTTGGATGTTACTTTCTTTCCCTCATTTTTTTAATCCAGCCAGATTGGTCTTCTTACAGTTCTTCACTCAGGACACTTTAACTTCCATCCCGGTGTCTTTGCACTGGCAGGCCCTGGAAAGTATTCTCTCCCTTCCTCCCTTCCTTCTTCCTTCCCTCCTTTCCTTCCTCCCTCCCTTCCTTCCTCCCTTCCTCTGCCTTATTCATCCCTCTCTTCCCTTCAGATGCAGCTCGGACACCATCTTCTACATGAAGCCTTTTCTGCTCCCCCCCCAAATTTTGGTACCTTTCCACCCGTATTACCTCATATTTAACTTCTTTTTGTATTCACACATATGCATATATATGGATTTTTAACTTTCTGTTTTCTGTATTTTTATGTGTACTTATTTTAATATGTAAGCATATTGTAATTAGGGATTTTTCATTCTTTTTATCTTTATCCTCAATACCTAGCATGGTGCTTAGCACATAGTAAGTGCTTAATAAATATTTGTTAATTGATTAAATACTGGATTTGGTGTCAGAGGACCTGGGTTTAAATCCTTCTTCGACATTACTAGTGTTACCTTGGGCAAGTCACTCTCTCTGAGCCTTGGTTTTCCCATCTGTAAAATGAGTGGCTTGGACTAGAGGAACTCTAATTGTCACTTCCAGTTCTAAATGATTCTTATCTTGAAACTAGATAATGTAGACTTAAAATTGACTTTGTGGTATTAGATGTATGATTGCTAGTAGACTTTTTGTTGCTATGGTTCATGGTTCCCCTTTCCTTTCCCCTTCCTTTTCCTCCCCCCTTTCTTGTTGTTTTGGAAATATCTCTTTGCCCACATATCTTAACTGGAAAGGCCTTGAAGGGATCATCTAGTCCAGGGATTCTTACCATTTTTTGTCATGGACCCCTTTGGCAATCTGGTGAAGCCTATGGACCTCTTATCAGAATGTTCTTAAATGCATAAAACAAAATTCAAAGGATTATATAGCAAACCAATCATAATGAAATACAGTTGATCAAAATATTAAGAAAACAGGTTCACAGAACAAGTTCTTAACATGAGGATGGTAAGAACCTCTGATTCTATGACTTTAGAGGTGAGGAAATGGAGACTGGGAGAGATCAAATAACTCTCCAAGGTTACTCAGGTAGGTATTGTCCAAGGTGGAATTTGAATCCAGGTACTCTGATTCCAGAGCCCATGAGCCTTCTGCTTTAACACTCGTCTCCTGCTTTCCCTTGTTCTTCCATTGTTCTAACTCCTCGGCTGTCTCCATAGTCCTCTCCTCCTTATCCCAACCCTGACTATTTGTGACTTAAAAAAAGTCCTCTGCATTCTACCACCTGTGTTTACAGCTCCTCCTTCCTCCTTAACCTTTTTTTACATTGATTTCCACCTTCTTTCCTTTCCCATAGTTCAGTTGTGTTGCAGGAAAGGAGCTGGGACCAGAGGAGCTTGCCAGCAAGGGGTCAAGATCAATGAAGTTGAGGTGCATTTTTGAGGTCATTAGGGAAATTTCTATTGTCACCAAGATAAGTCTGATACAGAGGGGAAGCTGGTTGTGCCTGTTATGCCGGAAAGCAGATGAGTGCCATGCTTAGCATCTGATTGTCAGTCCGACTATGAGGATAGCAGCAGTGGGGCATGATTTGGGGCTGAAGAGCCAATTAGTGTCTTCCTACATTGGCAGCCAGGTGAACACTTGGATAGATAATGTGGGTATAGAAGTACTCTAATTAGAGTAAGAGTAAGTAGAGTAAGAAATTCCCCAGCGTTTGGGTTAAAATACTTGCATTCATAATTCTGAGGGTACAAATGGAATATTGGAGACAGGACCTACCAAATGTTTTGTTTTGTTGGCATATATAAATTATATAATTTAGAGGGGATGACAAATTTATAATTAGGGTGAAAATCACTTTATGTAGGCAGGGCAGCTAGAATGACACTTCTGGATTTAGAGTCAGGAAGACTTCGATTAAAATCTGGCCTCTG